AAACCAATTTTAAATTCATTGTTTTTCTTATTTTTCGTTATTTTAGAATACTTGCATTTTTAGTGAATTTTTGTAGTTTAAAGAAGCTTTAAATGCTCATTGAATAAACTGTTGTTACGTTAGCAAAGGCTGTGCTAAAATAAATTTAGTTTACTTAAGCTTTAATTTTGTTTATTTATGCCACGATCCATCAAAATAATAATACTTACAAATTAGGTTTTTGTTTTCGTAGAAATGAATGTACATTGAAGTAATGCAACTGTCCGACACATAACTGAATAAATACTTATGTATATATTTAAATATTTAGCAAATAATATTAGATAGATATATGCTTATAAATGTGAGTGCAATTAATGTTTTTAGCATCAACCTACATTTAAAATGGAATACTGTTCAAAACTCGATTGAGGGAAATGAGCAATGTGAAAATTCATGAGACAATCTCTGTTGGCTTGGTTTCCTTCGCCACTACCTTACTTACAGGCAGCTGGGTTTATTTTGAGCGACATCAACTACAGGGCGATTCAAAAAGCCGAACACAATGAAAACGACGAGCTACGGACCACAGCTGTCAAATTATTTTTCCACGCACTCTTGTGTAGATAATTATTTTGGCGACGACAAGCATCGCGACAACTGTGGTTGTGGCCAGATTAGATCTATTTCTATTTTTCCAGGCACAGATAAGGTTCTCCCTCTTCTTTTATGTCAAACTCAAAAAATGCATGTCAAGCCTCNCGCGACAACTGTGGTTGTGGCCAGATTAGATCTATTTCTATTTTTCCAGCCACAGATAAGGTTCTCCCTCTTCTTTTATGTCAAACTCAAAAAATGCATGTCAAGCCTCTAGGTAGGGATCAAATGACACCAGCGAGTCAAAGTAAATACTCGATAATTTTGTATTATTTTTTACTCGATGCTTCTCAATCTGATACCAAGTAAGTATCGGTGCTTTTCTTTCGACACATTGAGAATACTCTAATGTTGAAATTAATTTTTTAACGTAATGACAAGAATATTTTTTAATGCTCAAGTATTCCATTACAATTTTGGCCATTTAATGCCTAGTGGAAATCAAGCATTACAAGAGTGTGAGGTTATACATAGTCGGTTATTTTAAGAGGTTGTTGCATCATCAGTTCCTTGTGAACAATTGTCCTCTAAAGCGGGCACCACAATAACACGCCTTTCCAGCAAGCACATTGAAAACCCTTTATTTTTAGACAACGTGCCATTAAATGTTTTTTATAACTAATATTTAAATGCATTTTCTACGTATAAGAGACAAACTAGATACCTATGTGAGGTTTGAGCTCGTTCACTTGTACTAAAATATTTATTTTTTTTTTTTAATTTGTAACGATGGGCAATACACCCAAGAATGGTATAATACAAGAGTCCGCAGTCCTGGCGGTGATAAGGTATGTAAAAGTAAATAAAGCCGAGTAGGAGAAAATAAGAAACTGTAAAAACAGTAAATTTTCTTAACATTGAACTTTTCTTTAAGAAAAGTAATTTTATGTGTTAAATTATAAAAATATATGATTTATGATAAGAATTAATAAAAACGGTACCACTTACGGCCCCACCTTTGTTCACTACATCGCATAATACAAACATATTTAATTTAGTACAAAAAGAAATATAATACTATGTTTACATGTAAGCAGATTATCCTCATTTTTGAGCTTTACTCCCTAATCTGTAATTATAACAAGTAATTTTTAAGCAAAGAAGTAATCTTTTAGCAAAAAACAACATAAAATATAAAAATTTAGGAGTATCGTTAATTTTTTCATGATCCAATGATCGGATCTAAACCAGATTAGTTATTTCAAGGGCGGTCTCATACTAATTTTATTTAGATCCGATAATTGAATCGTGAAGAAATTAACGATAACCTTAAAGTTTTATATGAGCACTTCATTTTTTGCTCGTACAAAGGTACTAGGCGTATGAGTGACTTTTTATAAATGGCAGGAAACTATTTATGCCAATTCGGATTTTTTCCATAAGAAAGTTTTTATTTATTTTTGAGAAATGTGTTAATGAAAAGCTCTTAATTTTTACATAGCATGAAAATACATCGCGTTTTCGGTATTTTCGTATAAATCTTTGGTTCCCTCTGACTTCTTCTGAGGCAAACCGACGGAAATTCAGAACCAACTGCTCTCATAAAAACAGCTGGCGTTGTGAGGTGGCAATATTACTAGTGACTAATCGAATGGTGGAACAAAGTCAACCCACCGGCCACAAACTGGTTAGAGATCTACATATTTTAAATAAATAACTGCATAATCCTGTATGTATGTATGTATGTATATACTGATCGTTTTTGGTGAAGAAAGTACGTAAGAGTCCATTCCGTTTTATGCATATAAAGAAAGAAATATGGTTGTGGGTGCAAAGACAAAAAGGCTAACTTTTTATATGATACAACTCTTCCTCAGACATCATACATCTAACTCTTCAAGATGTTTGGCTTGACACATTTTGACTCCTCTACCTTAAAAACAAGGCTGAGAGGCACTGAACCATAGTTTTATTCAGCTTAAGTGAACCTAGCAATGCATTTCGGCAGAAATATGGTAATTCTGTTGCAACAAATATGTAATCCAAATTTGTCAGACTGTGTAATTGAAAAATTAATACATACAGCACACACGCACTGTGTGGAGTAACTTCAAAAGAATTCGTATATGCGTTAATATTTCCGCATAATTACAAATTACATATTTTTATTATATATTGATTGCTTAAAAAACCACTGTCGACACACGTGCCATTCACTCTTGTCCGATGCTCCAGTGGCTATCAACAGCTGCGGCATTTTCGTTGCCTACATTCTTACCGCGCTTGCTTCCGTCTGCTTTTGATATATGTATGTATCTTTGCAAATTGGGTTTTATTTATATTTTTCCTGATTCTCTCATATTGAGTGCTTGACGTGTGAATGAAATTTCACAGGTGGCTGACCAGTGAAATGACAGTCTATACGAAAATGGCGGGGTGTTATTAGGAGTTCGCTACTTAGTTATTTATAAATACTTTTTGCTATTTTGTTTGTTTGATATATGTAATTGACTGACATTTTATTTTGCACATATGTATGTACTATTTTTTATATATTGTCTTAATACCTAACGTTAGTCAGTTACATTTTTACCAAACGATTCTAAATGACATTGTTGTAGCAGATGCAACCTCGAAATAATAAGTTAATTTTTATTACATGTCACTCAAATGAGAGCGCTCATGTTTTAAATGAAGACAGAGTGTTCTGTCAACACCTTTCTGACAATGTTCAATATTCTAAAGGGCCTTTAAAGTTTCTTAGAGATATCAAGATTCAGTAAATTTTGCGAATGGCTGAATACATTTCACATCCAATGTACTCTTATAATAATTTTGTTTATATTTTCGCTAGTTACATAAAACGCCGGCATGCTTGCGATTGCAGTTATTCAATTTTCTGGTTGAGCTTTGATAAATAATATAAACAAACTAATATACAATGGAACAAGCATAAGTGCTGTTAAATTATACATCTACAAATAAAATGTGGGAGTGATTCTCCGCCATTGGTTTCTAGTTAAAAGAGAAGAAGTCTGAAATACGAGAAAATTTAAACAAAAAATTCTTACGTACATATACATTAAAATAACCAATGAAAATAAGTCCATAGGTTCATAGAAAAAATGTGCAGAAAATCTTTTTAATATAAATGTTTACAAAAAAATTTTCTAAAAAAATTAAAAAAAAAATCGGTATAAGTATCGAAAAATGTATAAGCAATATATAAAATTATATAAGTATCGAAAAATATGTAGGTGGGTATAATTATTGAAAAGTATATTGATTACATTTTTGCCGAAAAAAAAATATATATATATAATAAGGGAACAATTTGCGGAAAACATCTAAATCTATGAAAAAATTTATGAAAAACTGTATTGAAAAATCGATATAATTAACGAAAAATGTAATCAATAAACTTATATATAGATATAGATCATGATTCAATAATACAAGGTTCGATAAACTGACAGTTGTCTCTCTCGCACCGCTCCCTTAGCAGTGGCACCGTGTTGCTTCTTTGCAAATTTACATGGAAACAGTGTACCTTTGGTGTGAAATAGAAGTATAAGCTTTTGTGCAATATGTTTATTTGTATATGCATATGAAGCATATTTAACTGATGAAAACATAAACTGTTTTTAAATTGGATGTTTACATCAATCTCATAGTAGTCTTATTTTAATTTTGAGTCATTATGCAGTTTTTATACAGCCTAATAGCACATAAATTACGTAATTCACGTAGATATATTAGCATTTCGTTCAATATTTCGTTTAAAATGCCAGATTTCCTACAAATACATTAGAATTTACAAAAGGAATTTCACTACTATTTGCGTACTTTGGGTACTTTTCTGCTACCATTTTCGTAGCAATGGATTTCATTCCTCCCCTTTCCCCATCCTTCGTAAATGCAATCTTTTGTAAGGGAGTATCAAACCGCGGCTGTCAATAATTATCTAACCTTGTATTATTGAATCATGGATATAGATATTTGCCGAAAAAATATATGTATATCAAGAAATTAATCGTTCTGTTGTTGTTGTTGTAGCAGCATACAAGCTTCCCAAAGAGTTTTTGGGGAGCGTTGCTGGAGTGACAGTCCTTGGCCAAATATAAATCTGGGTCGTTCCGGTTAGGTAGACCCGACTGTCGTGGAATCGTTCTGTCATGGATGGTAGTCATACAATTTTTAGTCATTGTTTTCAGTGTCGCTATCGATTTTTTTAAATTAAGTTTTTATTATTATACATTAATTTCTAATCTTAATATTTTAATCTGCTCGTGCACTTAATTTGAAAACCTTATTTTATGCAACCGATAATTTTTTTATGTAAACGAGTTTTATGAAGAATATTTACTTATTTGTAGGAATAATTACTCAAAATACTTACATTTACCTACTTCATTCTCTTTCAGGGAAAATGCCTCTGCGGTCAGTACATTCGCGCACGGCTTCGACGTGCTGGCGTACTAAATCGCAAAGCGACACAGCGTTTGCGCACCATATTGGAACCCTCATCGGCGGTGGTGTATGAAGTGTTTCCGGCATTGAATAGTGTAAGTGCATACGTACATATATATGTATGTATGTAAGTATATAGAACACACTTCACATTTCTTTCATTAAATACTATTTTAAATGTTTTAAATACAATTAAAGCTGTACTCAATTGTTTGCCTATGTTCACTTTCAGATGGGCGAGGAATTGGAACGCATGCATCCGCGTGTATATACAAATGTATCACGTCAACTGTCGCGTGCACCCTATGGCGAGTTGGTCGATGGTGACGCAGCGCCAATGCTGCTCAATTTGGTGGCCAAAGATTTATTTCGTTCGAATATTACTTGGGGCAAAATTATTTCCATATTTGCTGTTTGTGGTGGCTTTGCCATCGACTGTGTACGTCAGGGACACTATGAATATTTGCAACTTCTTGTCGATGGCATTGCTGAGATAATCGAAGATGATCTGGTGCCTTGGCTGGTCGATCACGGCGGTTGGTTGGGTCTGCAACAACACATCCGCCCACATGTGCGACGCTTTTCTTTTTTGGGACTGTTGACACTTTTCGTAGCCGTATCATCCGGTGTTTATGTTGTAACTAATGTGGCGAAACATATTGGTTGTCATTTGTACTCGTTGCTGTTTTGACAGGAAACGCGCGATAGCCAAAGGCGAATAGTTAATGGAAGTGTGGGAAGTTGGAGATATGAGAAATAGCGAAAATGTGACATGTAGGAGAGGAAATAATGTAGAGAGTTATGTTTTATTGCAATATTAAATATTATCGTTTTCTTTACTTGACTAAATACATATGTAAATACATAGTATAACTTTAAAAATAATTCTGCTTTTCATACATTTAGTGAACTGGCATTGGTATCGTTAACATTAGAATATGTAATTTTAAACATTTATGCAAATACCTATCAATTTTATTCCTGCGCAACTAAGAGATAATCATATGTTTAATCCAAATAAGTTTCCTTTTAATTTTAAAACTTACATACATACATACATGACAACTGACAAACACCTATTTAAAGTTTGTATAAACCTAAATATTTTGTTAATTCATTGTATTTAATACTTGCTTTAATTATTTAGAGAGACTAAGAAATAAAATTAAAATTGATCAGAAAATTAATTTAGTGTCATCAGAGGTAACGAAATTTTTTTTCTGATACAAGCATCAATTTGAGTTGATTATCTTTATTTTATAGTAATCCAGTATTTAGTCAAAAGTACACATTTTTATTTTCAGTTATATCTGCCTGACTAAATCTGACTTTTTCTGACTAAATCCTGGAGTACTGGCACAGACAAGGGCCACTCAGAATTCTTAAATTCGAAAATCTTGACTGTGCAGAAAATTTGTACAATATTTTTCTTGCATTTACTTTTCTTAAAACTTAAATATTTAAGTTTTCTGAATATTTCTTAAAACTTGATTTCATTGTAGCTTTCTAAAATCTTAAGATGGGAATTTGGTTCTCTAATTACATCTTTAATAAATGCAAAAGCTATATATACAGGCCTTTTCATTGAAATTGGTTGAAAACAATAACTTACAATTATGGTGGTGATAGATATTTAGGCGTTTTGTTTAGAAAAAAAATTATTCGTCCAGAAATCTAAAGAATTCTGAAATATTAATTAGCTCAAGAACAAACTAGTTTTAGGGCCGGTTGTTCAATGTCTGATTAACACTAATCGGAGGTAGAAGCTCTGGTTAAGTACAACGACTGCTTTATCGATGATGTTTAACCGGCAAGTAGTGATAACCAGACATTGAACAAGCGGCCCTTAGCATTCTAAGCGCTCAATGCATTTTTTCTCCTTTCCGAAACAAGGAATTATTTTTACCCTGGGATTCAGTAATTCAGTCTCATCTCAAGTCACTAAATTTGAGATTAGCAATTAGTGACTATTTTAAGCTGGCAGCCGAGAGGGTCCGGGTTCAAGTCCTCCTCGGGCGTAGAGGATTTTTAATTTTTTTTATTTAGTATTTTTTTATTTTTTTATTAGTTTTATTTTATTTTTTAACAATCTTTAGATTTTAATGTTTTAAAAATAAAAAAATAATTTTTTTTTCAATACATTTGTGTGATATTAAAGTAAGTTGGTTTATTTCCTAATGAAATTCTTGTTGAACAAATTTCCTCGCTTCATTTTCTCGTTTTTTTCTAAAAAAAATGGAAAGAAATAAGCTTTTCCTCCATACTTCTATTTTTGTGACCTGCTCTTAGCCAGCTAACAAATTAGTGACTTATTTTTGAGACTAGGGACGTGAGACAGCGTACTGAATACCAAATAGTCTCAAAATCCAAGTTCACCACCAAAAGTCACTATTAGTGACTAGAGACCGGTTACTGAATGCCTGGGTTAGTGTGGAGAAAAAAATGGCGACCGGAACTTGTCTGTGCCTATTCCGGCCATTTATGTGCTTCCATCCTTGTCTAGGGGAGTGCTAACTTGCTCTCCTTTCTAAATACACAGGTTTCACGATTTTACAAAATCTATTTCAATACATTACTTACGGAAAAAGCTTCTGCGAATTGCAAAGATATACATCCAGCCAGAGAATACAAACAAAGCCGAAAGATGCAGAGTTGCAATTGCATTTTTAAAAATTATTTTACCACAAGTAGCGCCCTCTGCCGTTTTATTTGTGTTTTCTGATTGGAGCGGTCGTTTTGCACCGATCAGAATGACGGGAAAATGAAAAAACGCAAATACTGTCGGTACAGCAGAGCATTAGCGGCGAGCAGTGCAGTGCAAGAAGCAGAGCGGAGCTCGTAAAGATTTTCAGATTTCTATCAATGTGGATTTTTTTATTTAAACTAGTGTAAAAGGAATTTGATACAGTTTAATTACAAATTAAATTGTGCCAAAGTAGCCGCAGAAAATAGTGCAACTTGTAAGTTTTCAAGCAATGTTGAAGATGCTCAAATAAAAAGTTCTAAAGTAAGATGTATGTATGTATATACGTGAGAATGTACTGTAGGCAGCGAAAGAAAAAGTGATGACGGTGACAATTTTAATTGGTCCACAGCTTTTGATGGGTGCTCCATTGAACTCGACCTTATTTGGAAGCTGCGTTTAAATTCTGTTGATAACTCTTCACACATTTTGTATAATTTCATGATCAATGCAAAGGTTTGATGTGTCGCCAATAATTAATTTGCTGAGCCTGGAAGCACGCCACGTACTTACATACCTTAGCACATAAGTATGTACATACATATATCGCATTTTGACGTTAGCTAATGAAAAGCGGCTTAAAACAACTTGATCAAAATAATAATATTTAACAGCTGACCCACTTCCAGTTACTTGCGGCATTAATCACAACCTTTTTAAAAATTGCAGATTTCTCGTTGGTGCTAGCTTGTTTGCTTGTATAATTTTCGTTCTAAGCGTAATTATATACTTGCAGCGATATGAAAGTGAAAGAATTGCAGAAGACTGTAAATATTGCTTGGTCGCCCTTGCCACAGTATCCAATTTACTTGGCAGCGGGCAGCGCGGCGCAGCAACTCGACTCCAATGTCAACCCAACATTGGAAATTTACTCAACGAATTTTAGCGATCCGAGCTATGACTTGGAATTGAAAGCGAGTTTACCCAGTCAATACAGGTAAACGTTTTTATAATAAATTTGCATGCACATGTACCTACTAAATTTAGAAATACATGTTTTTAAGATTCCAAAAGGTTATTTGGTCTCCTACTGGTTACGATGGCGCACACTCAAATGGTCTCATTGTTGGTGGGTGCGAGGGTGGTCATGTCATGATTTATTCTGCTGCCAAAATGCTCGCTAATGAGGAAGGACTTATTGCACGCCAAGATAAGCATAGTGGTCCGGTCAGCGGTCTTGATGTTAATCCATTTCAAACGAATTTGCTCGCCTCATGTGCCTCTGAGTCGGAGATATTTATTTGGGATCTCAACAACACAACTACTCACATGAATCCTGGCACTAAAACGCAACCACTCGAAGATGTGCAAAACGTTGCTTGGAATCGACAGGTGCAGCACATACTTGCCTCTGTATTTAGCTCACGTTGTGTCATTTGGGATTTGCGTAAAAGCGAACAAATCATTAAACTTTCCGATACCCAATCACGCGTTCGTTGGCATGCCATACAATGGCATCCAGATGTGGCTACACAAGTATGGCTTGCTTCAGAAGATGATCAAGCGCCTGTAGTGCAGCTGTGGGATTTACGTTACGCCACTGCGCCGGCTAAGACCATGCAAATACATCAACGTGGTGTGCTTGGCATGTCATGGTGTCCTCGCGATGTTGATCTGATGGTATCGTGTGGCAAGGACAACCATATATATTGTTGGAATCCAAATACTGAATTGCCTGAAGGCGAAATACTTTCTGAAGTAGCAGCCACAGCCACTTGGTATTCGGATGTGCAATGGTGTCCACGCAATCCTGCATTGGTCGCAAGTGCCAGCCTTGACGGCAATGTCTCCATTTACTCACTTTTCGGTGGCACACAACAGCAGGTGCAAACATCCAATAAAATAGCTGACTCTTTCCCGGGTATGGATCAATTAGCACAGGCACCTATACCGCAGCAATCTACGCAGATAGTGTATCATGACCTGAAACGGGCACCGAAATGGATTAAAAGGCCATGTGGTGTTACGTTTGGGGTAAGTTGCCATTCAAATCTGCAATATATTTAATCTACATTTGCTTTTAACTGCAGTTCGGTGGAAAGTTAGTGCACTTTAATGGCAAATCGAATCAAGTTCAAGTGTCGCAAGTAGTCACCGAACCGGAATTAGTAGAACGCGCTAATGTGCTCGAACGCTCTCTTAACGAAGCCAACTATGTTGACTATTGTCGTCAACGCGCCGATCAAATGACCGATCAGAATGGGCGCTATTTGTGGTATTTCATAAAGGCAAATTTCGAACTCAATCCGAAGGAGGAATTGTTGAATTTACTCGGTAAATACGGCTGCAAGGAGAAGGTTCATTTATATTTATTATGAATAGATCTTTTTAGGCTTCAACAAAGATGACATCGATGGCAAATTCGCAAAGTTCGTGAAGGAAGATGAAACGCTACAAAATGATGTGGATCAAGTGACCAATCGGCTAGCGAATCTGTCGCATGTAAGTTTACATATGTATGTACATATATGAAGAAAGTTGTATAAAAATTAACATTTTGAAGATTTACATATCGCACACTCTTCAAAACTGACTCAACTCAAAATTTGGTATTGTTGAAATTATGCACTAAAAATGTACACGGAGCCTTTATTTACATTTCGCAAAAGCTGTAGTAAATTTGTTGAAAAAACCTTAGGTAAAGTCCCCCAACCCGTATGATTAACATGTGCTAAGAAATAGTTTTCGCATTTTCGGGCGAACGTGTAATTTTGAGTTGTGTCAGTTTTGAAGATCGTTTACGATATGTATTTGAGAGGAAACTTACAACTAACTACTACAATTTTAAGAAATAGACAAGCAGGTCTAATGTATATATATGTATATGTATATATTGCTGTACAGCGAAGTCTTTTTTTAGTTTTCAAACATATGTCTATGTATGTACATACATAGTTATTGTTTCTATTTTTTATTCAATTCAATACTCAATTAAAAATGTCTCTTATCTACAAAACTCACGTTCAACATTTCTTATCTTGCATTCAGCTTCCAAAACTAGCAGCACAATTGTCGGTTGTGTTTAAAATGTATAAAGAGCTGTGGTCATTAAGTTAGTTTTGCCGCACGCAAAATCTACGCAGCTGCCTTTTTGTGATATAAAGTTCATCTACATAAATAATTTTTAATTTTTTGTACTTATTTTTCATTTATTTAATATCCCACGCATATGCATAAATTAATAAAAGTACTTATTCCAAATTTCATTTCGTAAAATGCATCATACTGACTCGCTTATTCATTTGCAAATCGTTAGAGCGACTCGTCGGAAGTTGAATGTGATCAAAGTACTGATGGCAGTACCGATATTTCGGTAAGCACTCTTTTTATTGCTAGGTGATTGCGTGTTTTAGATGTGTATTTGATAAAAATAAACGTATACATATATACACTTATCGATAAAAAAAAAAGTCATACAAAAAAACCTATCCTAAATTTTGAAATTTGATTTGTAGTTACTTACTGGGTGTTGTTAAAAACCTTCCTTTATGCATCGAACTTTTTTTTTTACCGAGGCCCCTAAATAATACCTACACAGTATATTATATTCCTTTTCTTACTTAAAACTCATTTTAGGTTTTATGCCATACATACGTATGTACATATGTGCCCAACCCCCCCTATGTACCTACATTCGTGCGTAAATGCTTTTCGGTGTTGTGGCTAAAGTATATCAATTACAGATGTACATAGATATTTTTACGTACAGACTTTTTTTATTTACTAAATATACTTATCAAAATTTTATAATGAACCATGATTCATAAAAAATAAAATTACAGCAACCAGTGGATAATAACGCCATTTTCGA